GTGTTAGCATTATACGTAGGCTTCTAAGCCCCTAAAAAAAAAAGTGTGACACTTACAGTATCAAATAGTCCAGAAAGGAAAAGGTGTGGCCTTCTTCATTATCCAATTAGCTGAAACTAAAGCATACAAAAAACAAAACTTAGGCTCACAGACCATAACAAGCTGGATTTCCTTAATCAAACTGTTTGTTAAAAACAATCCAAAAAAAGCATTTAAAATAACGTTTAAAAATAGAGTAATTTTAGCAGTTGCGTGGAGGGAAAAATGTGTGTTTCAACGGGTCTATCCCGTCTTTATATTTTCCTGTAAGTCTGGTGGAGTTTTCTTTTCTTCTTTTTATGTCTCAGACCTTTCTTACACAGTACCTTCGATCGTCTTTCTTGACTTTAGAGCAGTCTTTAATCTATACATCAAAGTTGTTCTGAGGTGTTTTTTTACCTGTGATCGTCTTTCCTGTTTAAGGCGTCGCTTGAAAAGAATCAGTCGGTGACCTCTGGAAAACTGTCTTACGCTGAAAATACACCCTGTTAACAGAGATACTAAGCAAATAATTTCATCATTAATATCAAATAGTCATTCATTCGTTGATTTCTTACGGAACACTGGTGGGGAACGGTGAAGATCTGGGTTCTTTCAACACCCAGTGAAATTTGGCACACTTTCAATCGTTGCTGTATTATTTGCTAATTTTTTTGCCAAGTATTTATTTACGTGACGACACTAATCAATCTTCAATTGCTCTCTTTAAACTCATCAAATGAGGAAAACTGTCAACCAATTAAAAATCAGGGTCTCTAAAATAGTTCTGTTACCATTATACGTAGACTTCTAAGCCCGTGAAAAAAAAAGTGTGACACTTACAGTATCAAATAGTCCAGAAAGGAAAAGGTGTGGCCTTCTTCATTATCCAATTAGCTGAAACTAAAGCATACAAAAAACAAAACTTAGGCTCACAGACCATAACAAGCTGGATTTCCTTAATCAAACTGTTTGTTAAAAACAATCCAAAAAAAGCATTTAAAATAACGTTTAAAAATAGAGTAATTTTAGCAGTTGCGTGGAGGGAAAAATGTGTTTTTCAACGGGTCTATCCCGTCTTTATATTTTCCTGTAAGTCTGGTGGAGTTTTCTTTTCTTCTTTTTATGTCTCAGACCTTTCTTACACAGTACCTTCGATCGTCTTTCTTGACTTTAGAGCAGTCTTTAATCTATACATCAAAGTTGTTCTGAGGTGTTTTTTTACCTGTGATCGTCTTTCCTGTTTAAGGCGTCGCTTGAAAAGAATCAGTCGGTGACCTCTGGAAAACTGTCTTACGCTGAAAATACACCCTGTTAACAGAGATACTAAGCAAATAATTTCATCATTAATATCAAATAGTCATTCATTCGTTGATTTCTTACGGAAAACTGGTGGGGAACGGTGAAGATCTGGGTTCTTTCAACACCCAGTGAAATTTGGCACACTTTCAATCGTTGCTGTATTATTTGCTAATTTTTTTGCCAAGTATTTATTTACGTGACGACACTAATCAATCTTCAATTGCTCTCTTTAAACTCATCAAATGAGGAAAACTGTCAACCAATTAAAAATCAGGGTCTCTAAAATAGTTCTGTTACCATTATACGTAGACTTCTAAGCCCGTGAAAAAAAAAGTGTGACACTTACAGTATCAAATAGTCCAGAAAGGAAAAGGTGTGGCCTTCTTCATTATCCAATTAGCTGAAACTAAAGCATACAAAAAACAAAACTTAGGCTCACAGACCATAACAAGCTGGATTTCCTTAATCAAACTGTTTGTTAAAAACAATCCAAAAAAAGCATTTAAAATAACGTTTAAAAATAGAGTAATTTTAGCAGTTGCGTGGAGGGAAAAATGTGTTTTTCAACGGGTCTATCCCGTCTTTATATTTTCCTGTAAGTCTGGTGGAGTTTTCTTTTCTTCTTTTTATGTCTCAGACCTTTCTTACACAGTACCTTCGATCGTCTTTCTTGACTTTAGAGCAGTCTTTAATCTATACATCAAAGTTGTCCTGAGGTGTTTTTTTACCTGTGATCGTCTTTCCTGTTTAAGGCGTCGCTTGAAAAGAATCAGTCGGTGACCTCTGGAAAACTGTCTTACGCTGAAAATACACCCTGTTAACAGAGATACTAAGCAAATAATTTCATCATTAATATCAAATAGTCATTCATTCGTTGATTTCTTACGGAAAACTGGTGGGGAACGGTGAAGATCTGGGTTCTTTCAACACCCAGTGAAATTTGGCACACTTTCAATCGTTGCTGTATTATTTGCTAATTTTTTTGCCAAGTATTTATTTACGTGACGACACTAATCAATCTTCAATTGCTCTCTTTAAACTTATCAAACGAGGAAAACTGTCAACCAAGTAAAAATCAGGGTCTCTAAAATAGTTGTGTTAGTATTATACGTAGGCTTCTAAGCCCCTAAAAAGAAAGTGTGACACTTACAGTATCAGATAGTCCAGGAAAGAAAAGGTGTGGCCTTCTTCATTATTCCAATCAGCTGAAACTAAAGCATACAAAAAACAAAACATAAGGCTCACAGACCATAACAAGCTGGATTTCCTTAATCAAAAACGTTTGTTAAACATAATCCAAAAAAAGCATTTAAAATAAGGTTTAAAAATTCAGGAATTTTAGCTGTTGGGTTCAGGAAAATATGTTTTTCAACGGGGACAGGGCTCCTGATATTGCGCGCGGTCGCAGACCCGCGAAGAAATTCAGGTATTTCCGCGAAATCCCGCGAAATTCCCCAAAAAACGCAAAATACTGCGAAATCCGGCAGAAATATTTCCAAATACATGTCGGCAAAACATATTTAATACTTATCTTGGCTATTAGACCTGTTTTATTCACCCCAAACGTCCAAATTTATCTTGAAACTTCGTCACTGCAAAGAGTAAACAATGTCCCAAAACTACCAGGCTTTTTTAGATGAACGTTGCGAAAAACTGGGCACTAACCATAATGTTAATAGCTTTAGCATTCGCTCATTTCTCGAGCGAACTGTAGTTGAAAGAGGAAATGATTATCCCTGTTAAAAAAAACGTTAAACAACGCTGGTCATTTTGGCGCTAAATTGATCGATTTTAGCGAAATTTGCAAAAAAGAATCCAACGAAATCGGCTGTTTTTTACCGATTGTTTCTTGGCGAAGTTTCCCCCCGAAATTTCCCGTTAGATCGGCCGTTTTTTTAACAATTTGCCCCCGAAAATCCGTCGAAATTTGACTTTTTTCCGCTAAAATCCCGCGAAATCGGCCGATTTTTCTGCGAATTTTTACTTTTCTCCCACTAAAATCCCGCGAAATGGGTCGATTTTTGTTCGAATTTTGACTTTTCTCCTGCGCAAATCCCGCGAAATCGGCCGATTTTTCCGCGAATTTGCCCCTGAAAATCCCGCGAAATTTTGCTCTTTTTTCCGGGAAATATCAGAAGCCCAGTAATAATAAACTATCCTGTCTATATATTTGCATGTAAGTTTGGTGGATTTTCCTTTTTTTCTTTTTATGTCTGAGATCTTCCTTACACAATACCTCCGATCGTCCTTCTTGACTTTAGAACAGTCTTTAATCTATACAAAAAACTTGTTCCCAGGTCTTTTTTGCATACCTGTGATCCTCTTTCTTGAATAGAATCAGTCAGTGACCTCTGGAAAACTCTGTTTCGCTGAAATTACAGCCTGTTAATACAGATACTAAGCAAATAATTTCATCATTAATATCAAATAGTCATTCATTTGTCGATTTCTTAAGGAAGACTTGTGGGAGATCTGAGTTCTTTCAACACTGAGTTATATTTGGCACACTTTCAATCATTACTGTATTATTTGCTTATTGTTTTTGCCAAGTATTTCTTTACTTGATGACACTGAGGAATCTTCAGTTGCTCTCTTTAAAGTCGTCAAAAAAGGAAAACTCTCATCCATTTATAATTCACTGGTTTAATCTTAAAAGTTGATTTATACGGATAGGGCATAAACTTTGAAATAAATGCTACACTTACAGTCAGGTATTTAGACATCTTAGAAAGGTACTGAAAGGTTTGGCCTTCTCCAATGTTCCATTCATTCAAAACTAAACAGTAGAAATAATAGAACACAAGCAACAGAAGAGGATTTTGTCAATTGTCAAGGAATTCAACGCGAAGACCCAGAACGTTAACACCGTTAAGTGCACACTAATGTTCTCTTCCTCTTTTTCTCTCTCACCAAATTGTTCATAGACGAACAGCAGAAGCAGTTAATAAAAAACATACAAAAAATGTAATTACAAAAAACGAACAGTTTGGAGTCCTTTACGAAACCACGGCAGTATTGAGATGATGAAAGTTACAACGACAATAACGATGACGATCACGATGTTGATGAGGATGACGTATTAATGAGCCGATCCGAAGAGTTACATAGGCCCAGATAAAGTAAAAGCGAAAATAACGATGATGATGACGATGTTGATGACGTATTAATGAGCCGATCCGAAGAGTTACATAGGCCCAGATAAAGTAAAAGCGAAAATAACGATGAGGATGACGATGTTGATGACGTATTAATGAGCCGATCCGAAGAGTTACATAGGCCCAGATAAAGTAAAAGCGAAAATAACGATGATGACGAAGTTGATGACGAATTAATGAGCCGATCCGAAGAGTTACATAGGCCCAGATAAAGTAAAAGGGATGTTAAGGCGTGAAGGAATGGATGGATGTATTGAATTTAAGAACGTTGAAGATACGATGATGTTTTTTTGATGTCTGGTGCTTGAGTGTGGATACGAATTACCAGCAAAATTAGCTCGAAAGAGTTTTCACCCCTGGCGATGACGTTTAATTAAGTGACGAAATTGTAGTGAAAAGTGAAAAGAATGAAAACTTATACCATCTGCAGAAGTTAATGAAACAAGGTATCGAGAAGTAACAGGTGATTGCAAAAAAAAAACGGTAAAGGAAAACATTAAGTTCAGTAAACAACATGTATTAGAGATGCCGAATGAAAGAGATTCCCCTCTATCTGCAAATGGAGATGAGGAGCTGCGCCTCACTGGGAACGGCGACAGTGAATCGAACAACAAAAGCGATTACAATACACGTTATGAAAACCGACAACTGAGAGTAACTGTTTCGAGCATAATTGATAGATTACGAATAGGGTCAGAATGGTATCGGGGAGAAATAATATAATTATTATATAATAAATTGGAGAGGAGTTTCTATACTGAAAAGTTGTAATCTGCCACAAAATCTACATAAATAACATGGTGATTTTTTTTTATTTGCTGTAACTTTGTTATTGGTCTCCCTAGGGATACTGTGGAGTCACTTGTAACTAGTCGTCAGAATTTGACGAGGAAAGAATTTAAACATATTCTAGAATCAGAAGCATATCCTTGCAAACGTTTTTTAGACAAGCCAGTGGATCATGGCTTGTAAGACTAACCCAGCGCACCTCAGAATACCTGTATCATGCACTGTTAGGCACAAGCAATCGTTTATTCCTAGAGGTGCTAAACTTAACTTAATTTGATATGTATATAGTTTTGAATTTTTATTGTAATGTTACCGTAATTCTTATCGCCAAAGGTAATAAACAAAGGTATTATTATTGTTATTATTATAACTCCATTACTCGGGTGCATTTTGATTGGATAAAAACGTTGGATATGCAAGGATAAATAAATGTATTATTGAGGGGTTCGTCAAAGGTATAGTAAGGACAGTAGAGGATTTTGGTCAATTTTTTTTTCAAGGAATTGGATGCGCAGAGGCAGAGCGTTAACATCATTAAGTGCACACTAATGTTCTCTTCCACTTTTTCTCTCTCACCAAATTAAAAGATAGAGATAAAGTAAAGCGAAAATAACGATGATGATGACGATGTTGACGACGATGACGATGAGGTAATAATGAGCCGATCCGAAGAGTTACATAGGCCCAGATAAAGTAAAGCGAAAATAACGATGATGACGATGTTGATGACGATGACGATGAGGTAATAATGAGCCGATCCGAAGAGTTACATAGGCCCAGATGAAGTAAAGCGAAAATAACGATGATGACGATGTTGATGACGATGACGATGAGGTAATAATGAGCCGATCCGAAGAGTTACATAGGCCCAGTTGAAGTAAAGCGAAAATAACGATGATGATGACGATGACGTCGTAATGAGCCAATCCGAATAGTTACAGAGCTCCAGCTGAGGTAAAAGCGATGTTAAGGCGAATTGTTAATGTTAATGTTGTGTTAGGAGAAAAAAAGTGAAATCATCGGAACATTTATCAGCAATTGAGTTCAATGAACTACAATAAATATTACCCATCACCGGAAGAAAATATTGCAATGCATGGTCACGAAAAATGGCTTTAAAAAGAAAGGATGCAAAATTTTTTCAAGGTTAACCAGCGAAGTCGAAGGGATGCATTCTTGGTGTACTGCTGAGTAAATGGATTTATTAAATAATAGTGTACTGTAATAATTCATTTTCAATGTGAATTTGACTTTATACGAGTCTGTAAAAGTTTTATCAATAATATTAATGATACTGATTTTATTATTTAAAATAGTATAGAGAGATTGATAATGACAGTGAGTACAACAATAATAAATAAATACTTAAGGTAACTTGGACATTGGTAAGAGAAGTCAAGTTTTATAGGCTTTCTTAACTCCTTATTAAGTCTTTTAAAGATCATTAGTCGAAAAGAAAACTATTGTATGATTTTTTAAGACCTTTTTTGTGAGCCATAAAAGAAGGTACTGGATCACCTTACTAGCAATCCTATTACCCTTTTGAAGGCATCAAAAAGCGACAAAAGCAAAAGAGCAAGTCGAATGCGAAGAAAGAACGTGCGCAACTGAACGAGAGATTTCAATTACTACTCTAGTGATTCAGTGAAGATAAATTAGTAATGAATTTAATGATTGACATTGATCGGTTTGTATAATCAATGCTATACATTGTATTTATTGTTTTATTAATAGTAGTGATTATACTAACGAAAGTATTCATTAATAAAGCCAGCAATAGTTGATATACATGGTAACCGAGTAGCCGTCGTGTCGGCCTTGGCAACAATTCACTATATACTGAATACTTCAGTTTAGTGAAGGTTTTCTTATATATAATATCAGTAACTTTGCAAAACAGCAAGCCTGCAAAAGCTTTTTACATATTTACCATCTGTTTGCTGTGGTATTTATTTCTATTCCTTTATACAAACAGGCATCGATGATCAGAGAAAAACATAATAAAGTGCAAAGGACTTTATTCTGATGATTTATTGATATCGATTACCCTCTACAATGAAACTTGTTTAATTCCTGACCAGATTAAACAAGTCTTTTCAAACAAAATCTTGTTTTGGGAAGAATTTCTCGTTGTGATCTCCCTCCATGGTGGCACATGCTTAATTTGATAATCATATTAAACATGTTTCACTTATAGAATTCTGTGTCCATCTCAGATGAATGCAGTAAAAGTTGGCCGTAATAAAGTACAAACGACCATATCATCGGAGATTCCAATTCTGTTGTAGTATAGTTTTACTCCGTAGACATTTTGATTTTTTTCTTAAATAGTACTGAAAACAATATTGGATCACTGTAATGTAGAACATGTAAATGATAAATAAATAAATAATGATTTGGGGGTAGCACATCCACAAAGTGGTTCTTCGTCTACCTGCATGATTCCTGGTCAAACTGGAATTTCTACATTGAAATATAGAGTTACATATTGAAATATAGTGGTACATTACCAAAACCATTAATTTTGTTGGTGCTCACAGTCCTTCATATCTGCAGGCTGAAAGTGGCTTTCATTGCAGGAACGAGTGATATCTTTACACTGTACAAGAACGAATAACAAACACAATGTAATCAGTTATGAGGTGCGATTTGTTCACAATTTCCTCGCTGTACAATTAGTTTATTTTTTATACACACGTCTGAATCATTCTATGTTCATGTTTGCGGTAATATTAAATAAAACAATGTATTATTAAGGTACTTAATTACATTGTTTATTTATTTAAATATATTTTTTCTCATAAAAAACAGACCAGTGCTGACCTTAAACACTATTAAATAAATATATAGATGAAATATTGAATAAACATTAAATCTAACCTGAATAATGTCCCTGAGTTGAGACGCAGAGATTTGCATAGCTGAAGGGTAACCTCTACATGCTAAGCATATTTTCTATTTTTTTGGTTTTGTTCAACAAAAGTACACAAAAGAACTTATGCCTTGTAGTAGGCCAAAAAATTAGATCTGAGATAATGAACTAAAAACTTATTTTTTTCTTTGTGGTTCTCTGTTAAGGTGATCCAGAAAGTATTCAAATTGACTTTTTCAATGCTAAAGCAGAAATACTAACTTTAGTCCCTGGCTAAGAATGATTTGTGCTAGAGAAAGTTCAATTTATGCCAGTTGAAGCCTGGTTAAGGGTCTTAAAGTAATAATTGTGCTAATGGGCTTGCTGTTAGTTGTGTAGATAATATAGGATTATAATAACAATGGCTTCACTTGACTACAATACTACCAGAATTTCTAATAATTTCCTGTAAGTTGACTATTTAAATGCAGTGATCGCGGAGAAATTAAAAGAATCAGTCTCCACAATCCTTGAATTACTAAAAAATCCTGGTAATCTGCAGTAAAATGAAATAATTGTACAAATGGTGTAATGACAAATAGTAACAATAATATTAATAATTATGCAAGGAAGCAATATTGCCAATTGTTGCAATTTTGGAGGCAAAAAATTTCAAAGTTAATGTGATTTCCTGAATTTTTCCCATGGTACCTGCAGGCTGAAATGTAATAATAATATGCGGACCATGAAATTAATTATTATTTGTGTTTCAGTGCTTAAGTTTGAGATTGAAATTCCCTAATCAATATTTTTTTACCCCTAGATAGCATAAACAAATGAGGTTTAAGCAAAGTTTATGAGGTTTCAGTTTTTAACTACTTCCTTTGCTTATTAATTTAAGAGCAACCCCGCAAAATGATCAATTTGCCTTGTGTGGAAAAACTAAATGTGAAACCAATTTTTCCCAGATTACTTGTCTAAATGAACAACTTTGCTCTTAACCTGGGAAAGGCAGAAGATGCCTGTCCTGTCCATGGAATTTTGGCAGCGAAGTGTTGATTGCTATATACTGGTACGATCAGTAATACTTAGCAATAATTATCATTGATAGAAATAAAAACAAATTAATGACCAAAGGACATGTTCCCACCTAGCAAGACCCGTGATGTTAAACCAGATTCCAAAGAGCAGTTTAAAACTACAGGTTACCAGTTTTCAGCCAAAAATTGAATTCATTTAAGTTTCCGATTCAAATGGATGCAGATTGGTGTGTTAAGATATTTGTTTAAATTTCCTAGTAATTTGACTAATATTTTAAGGAAAACAAAATAACGGCAACCTCGATGTACTAAAGCAAGATAGTTACTATAGCTTATGGTTGGATTACAATATATTATTGTCCAGCATGTGTCCTGGAAACCATTTTTGTATTTTCAGACCACATCATGTAATTTTCCCTACCCTAGTTCTGGTATGAACTGTTGCCTTTAAAAGTTGGATGATAAAATAATGTATCGTATCCGACCCTAGTTCCAGAATGCACAAAATCTTACTCTATTTCATACTTAAACATTTCGATAATCTGTATATATCTTTACATATAGCTTATGTCAGGGAATATTCGCTCACAAAGACCCACACCCTCCTACTGAAATTTCCAGTGAAAGGCAAGATATTTCAGAGAAAAAAACATATAACATCTTATACAAGCCATCAGCTAGCTGACTTATCCAATTCATCATGATGAGCTAGGAACCTTTAGCTCTCAACGAAGGCACAAGGATGTATCCATGGCAACCTGAAAGCAGCAACTTTAAAAAAAACAAAAACCTGTGCTTGAAGTGTGACCTAACTCCTTCCTTAAACTTAAGATTGTTTGACTCCCACTGTAGAATGCGGCAAAATAAATTATTTTGATGCCATGACTGGTTTTACCCATGAAATGATGTTCACGGAACAAACATAGAAATTTCATACTAATGACCCATCACCTATCTAGGTTGTGTTTCTGAGAGGTTGTGCCGTGTAGGAAATTTGCCTCAAACAAAGAGAAGTAATTCCCAAATCTGGGTAGTGATATGTCATCAGTATAGAATTTCTACACTCCTTCCAGCTCAGACATTGTTTTGTGGCATCTCAAAATGTTGGCTAGTTTCTTTGGCAAACAAAAATACTGTTCAATGGAATCCTGTAGTGAAAATGTTAAACTTAAACTAAACTGGTTGAACAAACAAGTGCCAGGGAGCAATTTGCAAATTGAAAATCAAAACTTAACATTCCTTGACGGAATAATTGATTCATCCAAGAAAAAAAAACAAATCCTACAAGTACG